GTTTGTTATGACTTTTTTATATAAATTAATCAAAGAATTTAGATATCAAAAGTTTTCAATTGAGGGTCTGTCAGGGTATTCTCAGGAGTTGCAAGGTATTTCTCCAAATATGACTGCTCAAATATTTGTAATTTTTGAGATATATGAAGCTTGTGTGATTTTTCTAAAATTTTCAGAAAACTTAAATTTGATTTTTTTTCAAAAGCGAAATTCGCAATCCTGTAGTTGGGGGCTGTCAGAGTACTCTCAGGGGTTACAAATCTTGACTCCAAATGTGAATACACAACTCTTTGTTGTTTGCTACATTGACGTTTTGTTTGATTTTTTAAAAAGTTTTTCAGAAAACTTCAATTTCTTCTTTTTTTCTCTTCAAAATTTGAAATTCTTAACCTAGTAGTTGGGGGCTGTCAAAATATTCACAGGGGTTTTCACTGCTCAAATCTCGTAATTTTGACATATGACGGAAAACTCTAAATTTGAAGTTTCTCAAAATTTGAAATTCGCAACGCTGTAGTTCGGTACTGAAAGATAACTCTCGGCAGTTGCAAATCTTGCGTCCAAATGCGACTGATATATATATTTTTTTAAGTTTTTGAGATGTGACGTTTGTTAATTCATTTTATAATTTTTCAAAGAACATAGATACAAAAAACTTCACAAAATTTTAATTCGAAAACTTAAATAAAAGTTTGAATTAAAAAAAACTTGAATAAAAAATTTTACAAAATTTGAAATTACCAACCCTATAATTGGGTACTGTCAGAGTACACTCATAGCATGCAGATCTCCTTTCCATTGTATGCGTTTTTTTAATGAGTTGTTAAAAAGTGTTACACGGAGGTGCTTTACATGCTAGTATTGTTTACAAAAAATAGAAAAATTATGCCTTATTTGCCAACGTTTCACGCGTGTATATAGTATAGTTATCATCACACGACGTACAAAAACGACGCTAATTTGAAGAACTGAATAATTTGAAGTTTTATTTTTAGCTCTGGTCCGAACATTGTGCTTCTTGCACAGCAACCGGCTATCCTTGTTTTTTTTTCCGTTTGATAGTTTTAAAATTTTGCTTAATACTGCGCGTTCGGATCATTTAATTTTTCCGGATCTCTGGTCTTGTGCCCAATTATTGTCTACTCAGTTACCGCATCATAAACTTTCTTTTGATGCTAATTTTCTTTTGACAATTGATTCTGTTTTAATAAGTAGAATGCTTTCCGTATTAGAGAGTTGTATCAAAAAAATTTAAAAAAAAAGTTTAATGAGTTTGAAAAATTGCAACAGTTTTAGTACCTAGAATTATTTTAAAGTGTTTCTCTGCATTCAGTTGCTTCAATCTGTTCAACGAGTTTTCATGAACGAGCTTTTAATGTGCCGCACGGTGTTTTTATTGCACGGAACTGCTAGATGGGGTCCAGTGAGTTTCATGTCATTTCAGTGATGATACGGATTCCAAAACCGGATCAACCGTAAAATATCCCCGCTCCCCAAAATGATATCGATGAGAAGAAAATTATATCACCTTTCAAGATTAAATTATCGGAAAATAGATAAAATGTCGATTCAACTGATTTTGTAGCCTATCAAGAATTGTATGAAGAATTGCAAAATGGTTATATTTTGTGCGCTAATGTGAATTGTATTTTTTCTTTTCTAAAGAATTAAATTTCAGAATTAATACATGATTGGGGAGGGCATTCTACGGTAGGTCACTTAAGGGGGGGGGGGGGGGGGCGAGAGATTGCGCGTTTGATCCCCAAAACCGAAAAGGATATCAGTATCCAGAAAAAGCTGCATTTTTCCAATTGATGATAGAGGGGTATATGCTTAGCGCGACCTTTCATTCAAAACGCGCTCGGACCATTGAGAATAGGAGACAACTGAGAAATGGCAAACCAAACAGCGACTGGGTATTAAATGATTGAATAAACTTGACTGTCTTCAGCAAATAGCATCAGTTTTGACTAGAATCATTGGATGAAAGAAAATCCTTGTTTGATTTAAAAGGACGGTCATTTAGGATACAAGACTCTTCAAAGATTTGCGAATTAAGTTGGTTTTTGTTTTATAGTCCACGCAGATGTTCATGTTTTCTTGGTTTCAGGTTAGAAAATGCCCTCGAAATGCCAATTTTGGCTGTTTATTCTGGATTTCTGTATTTAATTATTGCTCTTCGGGTACTTATTAAGACGCCATGTGAAATTCTTTTTTAATTTCGCTAGAAATTTAAATAAATATGTTTTATACCAGTGCTGGACAATGCATCTTTGAAATCATTATCATTACGAAATCAAATGTGCAAGCTGTGAAAACTAATATTTACTAGTGTTTAGATTTAGAGTCCACTCGTTTATTGGCGCAAAGTTGAACTGGTATTTCAAGTTTATTCCTGTTTGGTGATTATTTCTCTCGATCTTAAATTGAAGTACAAAAATTGAATAAATCGTGCGATTAATTGTTCATAACACTTTGTTTGCTGTGCCTCGCTATGGCCAAATACGTTCAGCATGACGAGGACAATTCAGATGCAGTTGATAGCACTGACTCCTCAATTTTGGACCCTGACATGAAAACGGAATCTCCATTTGACACAACAGAAGCGGACTCTGAGAATCTTCTCACTCCGAGCGTCTCAGACGAGCGAACAGGTCTGTTCAGAGGGACGAAAAGCTACAAGAGAAGATGGTACATTTTAGCGTTGTGGTGTGCAGTCGGCTTCGCGAACTTCGAAATTTGGAACACCTGGGGTCCAATTCAGAACACGGCCAAGTACACTTTCAACTGGCAAACGAGCCAAATTTCTCTTCTGGTCAATCTAGGACTCTTCACACTTATTTTGTTTCCGCCCGTCTTTGTGCTAATCATAGACAGGTACGGACTGCGTGTGGCGCAACTGATAATATTAAAAATATTGCGTCCGAATGCGATTACTCAACTCGTAGTTTCCGAGAGGTGAGGTTTGTTATGACTTTTTTATATAAATTAATCAAAGAATTTAGATATCAAAAGTTTTCAATTGAGGGTCTGTCAGGGTATTCTCAGGAGTTGCAAGGTATTTCTCCAAATATGACTGCTCAAATATTTGTAATTTTTGAGATATATGAAGCTTGTGTGATTTTTCTAAAATTTTCAGAAAACTTAAATTTGATTTTTTTTCAAAAGCGAAATTCGCAATCCTGTAGTTGGGGGCTGTCAGAGTACTCTCAGGGGTTACAAATCTTGACTCCAAATGTGAATACACAACTCTTTGTTGTTTGCTACATTGACGTTTTGTTTGATTTTTTAAAAAGTTTTTCAGAAAACTTCAATTTCTTCTTTTTTTCTCTTCAAAATTTGAAATTCTTAACCTAGTAGTTGGGGGCTGTCAAAATATTCACAGGGGTTTTCACTGCTCAAATCTCGTAATTTTGACATATGACGGAAAACTCTAAATTTGAAGTTTCTCAAAATTTGAAATTCGCAACGCTGTAGTTCGGTACTGAAAGATAACTCTCGGCAGTTGCAAATCTTGCGTCCAAATGCGACTGATATATATATTTTTTTAAGTTTTTGAGATGTGACGTTTGTTAATTCATTTTATAATTTTTCAAAGAACATAGATACAAAAAACTTCACAAAATTTTAATTCGAAAACTTAAATAAAAGTTTGAATTAAAAAAAACTTGAATAAAAAATTTTACAAAATTTGAAATTACCAACCCTATAATTGGGTACTGTCAGAGTACACTCATAGCATGCAGATCTCCTTTCCATTGTATGCGTTTTTTTAATGAGTTGTTAAAAAGTGTTACACGGAGGTGCTTTACATGCTAGTATTGTTTACAAAAAATAGAAAAATTATGCCTTATTTGCCAACGTTTCACGCGTGTATATAGTATAGTTATCATCACACGACGTACAAAAACGACGCTAATTTGAAGAACTGAATAATTTGAAGTTTTATTTTTAGCTCTGGTCCGAACATTGTGCTTCTTGCACAGCAACCGGCTATCCTTGTTTTTTTTTCCGTTTGATAGTTTTAAAATTTTGCTTAATACTGCGCGTTCGGATCATTTAATTTTTCCGGATCTCTGGTCTTGTGCCCAATTATTGTCTACTCAGTTACCGCATCATAAACTTTCTTTTGATGCTAATTTTCTTTTGACAATTGATTCTGTTTTAATAAGTAGAATGCTTTCCGTATTAGAGAGTTGTATCAAAAAAATTTAAAAAAAAAGTTTAATGAGTTTGAAAAATTGCAACAGTTTTAGTACCTAGAATTATTTTAAAGTGTTTCTCTGCATTCAGTTGCTTCAATCTGTTCAACGAGTTTTCATGAACGAGCTTTTAATGTGCCGCACGGTGTTTTTATTGCACGGAACTGCTAGATGGGGTCCAGTGAGTTTCATGTCATTTCAGTGATGATACGGATTCCAAAACCGGATCAACCGTAAAATATCCCCGCTCCCCAAAATGATATCGATGAGAAGAAAATTATATCACCTTTCAAGATTAAATTATCGGAAAATAGATAAAATGTCGATTCAACTGATTTTGTAGCCTATCAAGAATTGTATGAAGAATTGCAAAATGGTTATATTTTGTGCGCTAATGTGAATTGTATTTTTTCTTCTCTAAAGAATTAAATTTCAGAATTAATACATGATTGGGGAGGGCATTCTACGGTAGGTCACTTAAGGGGGGGGGCGAGAGATTGCGCGTTTGATCCCCAAAACCGAAAAGGAAATCAGTATCCAGAAAAAGCTGCATTTTTCCAATTGATGATAGAGGGGTATATGCTTAGCGCGACCTTTCATTCAAAACGCGCTCGGACCATTGAGAATAGGAGACAACTGAGAAATGGCAAACCAAACAGCGACTGGGTATTAAATGATTGAATAAACTTGACTGTCTTCAGCAAATAGCATCAGTTTTGACTAGAATCATTGGATGAAAGAAAATCCTTGTTTGATTTAAAAGGACGGTCATTTAGGATACAAGACTCTTCAAAGATTTGCGAATTAAGTTGGTTTTTGTTTTATAGTCCACGCAGATGTTCATGTTTTCTTGGTTTCAGGTTAGAAAATGCCCTCGAAATGCCAATTTTGGCTGTTTATTCTGGATTTCTGTATTTAATTATTGCTCTTCGGGTACTTATTAAGACGCCATGTGAAATTCTTTTTTAATTTCGCTAGAAATTTAAATAAATATGTTTTATACCAGTGCTGGACAATGCATCTTTGAAATCATTATCATTACGAAATCAAATGTGCAAGCTGTGAAAACTAATATTTACTAGTGTTTAGATTTAGAGTCCACTCGTTTATTGGCGCAAAGTTGAACTGGTATTTCAAGTTTATTCCTGTTTGGTGATTATTTCTCTCGATCTTAAATTGAAGTACAAAAATTGAATAAATCGTGCGATTAATTGTTCATAACACTTTGTTTGCTGTGCCTCGCTATGGCCAAATACGTTCAGCATGACGAGGACAATTCAGATGCAGTTGATAGCACTGACTCCTCAATTTTGGACCCTGACATGAAAACGGAATCTCCATTTGACACAACAGAAGCGGACTCTGAGATTCTTCTCACTCCGAGCGTCTCAGACGAGCGAACAGGTCTGTTCAAAGGGACGAAAAGCTACAAGAGAAGATGGTACATTTTAGCGTTGTGGTGTGCAGTCGGCTTCGCGAACTTCGAAATTTGGAACACCTGGGGTCCAATTCAGAACACGGCCAAGTACACTTTCAACTGGAAAACGAGCCAAATTTCTCTTCTGGTCAATCTAGGACTCTTCACACTTATTTTGTTTCCGCCCGTCTTTGTGCTAATCATAGACAGGTACGGACTGCGTGTGGCGCAACTGATAACAGCCGGAAGCATAGCGGCCGGTGCATCCATAAGGCTGATTATTCCAGACAACTCGATAGGTATCTGTATCATCCAGGACCTGGGGGAGTTCCTCAACGGGATCGGAGGAGTGCTCCCCATGGCCGCATCGACGATGCTATCTCTCAAATGGTAAGAATTGTTTGGCTAGATAGGTTTCTACTCACTGTATTTTGAACTGGAGCAAGCTTTTTTATAGCAATTCAAGTATGTTCTTCATAAGAGCAAGATAATTCAGCGTGAAATGCTCAACAGATGTAAAATCGTAAATTGCACAAAATATTTGTACTACAGAGTAGGATTTTTGGCCAATTTTCATGCCTAGAAAGTAGTTGGTATCATATTACAGCCCTTTAAATCGTAATCTGGATTCCAAAAAAAAATCAAAGAAGGTCAAAAAGAAATCATAGAAGTGTCACAGCGGTGTTGGTGTGATACTTTTCGTTTTTTATTAAGACAAAATTTGACGAAAGACTGCCAATTTATTTCTGCTACAGGTTTGAAGCTATTTAGGCTATTTTTATATTCTACCTGTGTTATTTTTGATCCAATTCAGTTGCCCTTTAATTTTTTGTCTAGCAAAAAGCAGGGGCATTGCAACCGGCCACTTGACTTTTTCCATAAAAAATTTCACAGGATGTCTGAAGGTGCTGGGAAAAAAAACTTTGTTATCTATTTTTGGTGGGGGTGGGGGGGGGGGTTTCAATGTTTTAGTTGAGATGAAAACTAATTTTGTAAACTTTTTTTTAGCTCAATGGGTGTCTGCTCAAGTAATGTCGGCTTTGTTACCGCTTTGCAAGTTCTCTTTTTATACTTATGTAACGTTTAACTGTCTTTCTTGGCATGTTTTTCGCAAAATGAATTTGATCCAAAGAGATTCAAAACAAACATATCGAACGGTTTTCGTCTTATTTTCTGTCGGCCATGTTTGTTTTGTATCACAGGTGGCGTGTATTGAAGAATAATTTTTTATAAACCCTTTTTTGAATTTCTTCTCGTGAAAATTGTGCTCGGAACATTCTTGGCCACTGTTCTTGCATGGCAGCCTGTCATCCTTGTCTGTAATTGTTTTAGTTTTTTTGTTTCAAACTTAGGTTCCCTGAAGGAGAAAGAAGAACAGCTACTGCATTTTCTACTGGGACCCAACAGATAGGACTAGCTCTTTCATTCCTCATTGGACCCCTGCTAGTGGATGACTTGAAGCCCGTAGATATGGCAAACTCAAGCACAGATCCTAACGATACTTCGACAGTAGAACCAGGACCAACTAAGGAGGAAATGCAGGGTCAAATCTGGCACTACATTTTGTATCAGTCAATATACGCAGTTGTGCTGTTCGTGCTAGTCGTTGTGTACTTTCCCCGATCGCCTCCCAAACCACCCTCGGAAGTTTCGTTCAGCAAACGAGAAGACTTGTTGCCGAGTGTGGGGAAGATAGTGAAAAAGCCTAAATTCTGGTGTTTAGCGTTTGTGTATGGTCTTTTCAGTGGGGTTTTTAACTCATATCTGTCTATTTTGGACGTGGACTTGCAACCCAAAGGGTTCAGTCAAGTTCTAGCAGGCTGGATTGGTTCCACAACGACGTTGGCAGGTGCAATCGGAGGCGTTATTTTCGCCAACTTAGCCGATAGACTAAGAAGACATAACCCAGTTAAGAAACTGTTGCTGATGCTGTTATGTGTCGGCTTTGGCTCATTCCTACTTTTTGTGCTATCAGTGAAAGCATTTAGTCTTTCTCTCGCAGCTAACAAAGCTGTAGTATTTGTAACTGTGGTAGTTACAGGTATATGTTCCGCAAGTAGTGTGCCATTAGTGTTCGAAATGGGATCAGACATTTTGTTTCCGATATCAGAGGAACTGATCGGGTCAATGCTGGTGCTGGTTCAGAATGTTTTCGGAAGTCTCATCTTAGCTGCCATGTCCATACCTCAACTAGGTGAGTCAACTACCCAATCAAATTTTTACAGCGAGATGTTTTGATTAGTTTTTCTTTTTTAACTAGGTTTTAAAGGTTCCAGGTAAGGTATCATTTAAAGGATTAAAGTGCTTGAATACCTTTGAAAAAACCTCGATTTGAGTTGAAACTCTTGAAACAAAAACAGGACAGTCCTTTTTTTACTCGATAATTTCACTTGCTTAGAGCAAGTGTACTTGTGATTGGGAACTAGGTTTTTTCCCGTTCCTACAAATCTGTAAGAAATTAACCTTGCTTTATTATAAAACCTCAGAAACTTTCAAGGTCTGCCTATTATCCTATTTAATTAACTAGTAAATTGGGTGCCTTGGAAGCCTAAGATCGGATTCGAGTTCAGGCTGAACGTTTTTTTTAAAATTACTATGAAAATTTTAATTTTTTAGTAAAGTTACTGTTTTATTTACTTTAGCGATCAGCGTAGTGTATTAGTACGAACCTTTTTTTCTAGCCTACTTCGCAAATAGAAGTGTTCACTTAATTGCTACAATCACGATCTGTAGCATTGGAAATTTCATCGCATCTGTTTTCTGCCTTATTTGTGGCAAGTGTTTGTTTGTGATTAATTAAGCGTCCGTTTCTGAGTGGTTAGTGCCTGAGACTCATATTCTCTAGGTCTCAAATAGAATCCCAGACAGCCGAGTTTTACTAATTCGAGGTTTATTTCTACTTTTTCTTATTGCACTTTGTAGAGCTGCTTTTTGTGTTCTTGCTAGTGTTTGCGAAGCGAAGCTTCGCCTTTGTGTGATGATTACTATTGAGAGTTGATGAAACAGCGAAAGTGTAAAGGTCACGAAAAATGTGATCCACTTCTAATTTCGAAATAGGATTTTCTTTGTCATATTTCGCAGCGAAATAAAAAAAATTATCTATTGATCCAGTTTTCTGAAAATGGGTTTAGTTTTTCAGAACAATATCAATACTAACTTTTTATAGAAATTCAAAGCTTTGAGGTCATCTATTTTTTTTTGCCGAAAGTTGAGATTTTTTAAAATAAACATTTAAGTGTTTTTGTCTGTTCTCTTGCTTTCGTTGACTAATTGTCTCTTGGTTATGTTTTTTGTTAAATTTTTGGTCTTTAGTGGTTTCGGCAAATTTTATGCCGACTCAGTTGCCTCATAATAGGCCGTTTAAAGAGCAGAAACATATGTTATTGCGTTTTGTGCTTTATGGAGGTAGCAACTTGAAATGTCAAGATGTTTCATAAATCAAATTTTCGAGGAATTTGTTTTGTTTCAACGAGCTTGGTAAATCTTGTTTCCGTGCTAATTTAATGCTGTTGATTACGTGTTTCACTTGTTTTCCTCAAAAGTCTTTCGCGACATACGTTTGTAGATAAAATTTTTTCAACCAGTTTTTCAGCATCAAAAATCCTTTTACTTTTTGTTCCATGTTTGTATTTTTATGCAAGAAACTTGCCAATTACATATATGCGTAGCTGTGTGTTAGTAAGATTGTAGGACCGTAGTTCAGACTATTATATAGATCGTGATGATTTTTTTGCTTCTGTTTTTTCAGGAAAAGACTTAAAAATTGCACAGGCCCAAGTTTACTTTTTCGCGGTTTGACTTTTGATTTCTTTCTAAGTTCAGATCATTTTTTTCAGAAGGAAGGCAGACTCTATTATTGAACAGTGAAATTGTAAGGGTCACGAAAAGTGTGATCGATTTCTTGTTTGGAAACTGACATTAATTTTCAGATTTTTTTAGCGAAATAAGAGCCTTAACTTTTTGATCCAGTTTTCTCAAACTGGCCTAATTTTCAAAAAAGGGCCTATCACAATTTTTGCTAGAAATTCAAAGCGTTTTAAGGCCATCTATTTTTTATTTGAAATTCGAAAGTTGTTTTCAAAAAAAAACAAGTGTCTTTTTTTCTGTTTACTTGCGTTCATTGACTCTTTTTCAACTGTTTGTTGGCTGTGGTTCTGCGATCCCTTCTTTACCATTACTAGTGGAATCACAAATTATGAAATTTCATTGCAAATTTTTTGCGTCTTAATTTTCTGCGTTGCAGCTATATGGATACCTGGCGCGTATCATTGCGCTCGTAATAGCAAGCGATTAACAACTAGTTTAACAAAATTATTGAATCAATTACTTCCTTGAAGTAAAATCATTGAATCATGTACACAAAATCATTGAATCATAAGAGCTGAGTAAATGATTCAAAAATTTTGTTGAACTAGTTGGTGAACCGAAAAAAGTCTGATTATCAAATATTCCTTTTTTATTTAGTTTATCCAGTTCGTGGTGGCAGTTTGGCCCATTTAGGGTGAAGGTGCAGGACAAAAGTCCAGGATTCTAATCCGACTAAGACCTATTTTTTGCAGATAACAAATTTACCGCTGGACAAAAAAAAATGTTTAACTGACTATTGTTTATCTGCTTAATTTTGTAGGCTCAGGCGCCATTGCTTGGGAACTAGGTTTTTTCCTGGTCCTACAAATCTGTAAGAAATTAACCTTGCTTTATTACGAAACCTCAGTAATTTTCAAGGTCTGCCTGTTATTCTATTTAGTCTCGAAAAATGATAACGCTTGAGCTCACCATAAATTTTTATAGAAATTCAAAGCGTTTTAAGGCCATCTATTTTAACTTTGAAATTCGAAAGTTATGTTTTTTCAAAAAAAAACAAGTGTCTTTTTTTCTGTTAACTTCCGTTCATTGACTCTTTTTCAACTGTTTGTTGGCTGTGGTTCTGCGATCCCTTCTTTACCATTACTAGTGGAATCACAAATTATGAAATTTCATTGCAAATTTTTTGCGTCTTAACTTTATGCGTTGCAGCTATATGGATACCTGGCGCGTATCATTGCGCTCGTAATAGCAAGCGATTAACAACCTGTGTAAAAAAATTATTGAATCAATTACTTCATTGAAGTAAAATTATTGAATCATGTAGACAAAATCATTGAATCATAAGAGCTGAGTAAATGATTCAAAAATTTTGTTGAACTAGTTGTTGACCCGAAAAAAGTCTGATTATCAAATATTCCTTTTTTATTTAGTCATCCAGTTTGTGGTGGCAGTTTGGCCCATTTAGGGTGAAGGTGCAGGACAAAAGTCCAGGATTCTAATCCGGCCAAGACCTATTTTTTGCAGATAACAAATTTACCGCTGGACAAAAAAAAATGTTTAACTGACTATTGTTTATCTGCTTAATTTTGTAGGCTCAGGCGCCATTGCTTGGGAACTAGGTTTTTTCCTGGTCCTACAAATCTCTAAGAAATTAACCTTGCTTTTTTATGAAACCTCAGTAATTTTCAAGGTCTACCTGTTATCCTATTTAGTGTCGAAATAGGATAACGCCTGAGCTTACCATAATTTTTTTTATAGAAATTCAAAGCGTTTTAAGGTCATCTATTTTAACTTTGAAATTCGAAAGTTATGTTTTTTCCAAAAAAAACAAGTGCCTTTTTTTTCTGTTTACTCCGTTCATAGACTCTTTTTCAACTGTTTGTTGGCTATGGTTCTGCGATCCCTTCTTTACCATTACTAGTGTCATCACAATTTATGTAATTTCTTTGCAAATTTTTTGGGTCTTTACCTTCTGCGTTGAAGCTAAATGGATACTTGGCGTTTATCATTGCGCTCGTAATAGCAAGCGTTATCAAATCGGAATTTTTGATAATCGGACTTTTTGGGGTCAACAACCAGTTTAACAAAATTATTGAATCATTTACTTCATTTAAGTAAAATCATTGAATTATTTAGACAAAATCATTGAATTAAAAGAGCTGAGTAAATGATTCAAAATTTTTTTAAAACTAGTTGTTGACCCGAAAAAGTCTGATTATCAAATATTCCTTTTTTATTTAGTATATCCAGTTTGTGGTGGCAGTTTGGCCCATTTAGGTTGAAGGTGCAGGGCAAAAGTCAAGGATTCTAATCTGGCCAAGACCTATTTTTTGCAGATAACAAATTTACCGCTGGACAAAAAAAAATGTTTAACTGACTATTGTTTATCTGCTTAATTTTGTAGGCTCAGGCGCCATTGCTTGGGAACTAGGTTTTTTCCTGGTCCTACAAATCTGTAAGAAATTAACCTTGCTTTATTATGAAACCTCAGTAATTTTCAAGGTCTACCTGTTATCCTATTTAGTCTCGAAATAGGATAACGCCTGAGCTTAGCATACTTTTTTTATAGAAATTCAAAGCGTTTTAAGGCCATCTATTTTAACTTTGAAATTCGAAAGTTATGTTTTTCCATAAAAAAAACAAGTGCCTTTTTTTTCTGTTTACTCCGTGCATAGACTCTTTTTCAACTGTTTGTTGGCTATGGTTCTGCGATCCCTTCTTTACCATTACTAGTGGAATCACAAATTACGAAATTTCTTTGCAAATTTTTTGCGTCCTAATTTTCTGCGTTGCAGCTATATGGATACCTGGCGCGTATCATTGCGCTCGTAATAGCAAGCGATTAACAACTAGTTTAACAAAATTATTGAATCAGTTACTTCCTTGAAGTAAAATCATTGAATCATGTAGACAAAATCATTGAATCATAAGAGCTGAGTAAATGATTCAAAAATTTTGTTGAACTAGTTGGTGAACCGAAAAAAGTCTGATTATCAAATATTCCTTTTTTATTTAGTATATCCAGTTCGTGGTGGCAGTTTGGCCCATTTAGGGTGAAGGTGCAGGACAAAAGTCCAGGATTCTAATCCGACCAAGACCTATTTTTTGCAGATAACAAATTTACCGCTGGACAAAAAAATGTTTAACTAACTATTGTTTATCTGCTTAATTTTGTAGGCTCAGGCGCCATTGCTTGGGAACTAGGTTTTTTCCTGGTCCTACAAATCTGTAAGAAATTAACCTTGCTTTATTATGAAACCTCAGTAATTTTCAAGGTCTGTCTGTTATCCTATTTAGTGTCGAAATAGGATAACGCCTGAGCTTACCATAATTTTTTTATAGAAATTCAAAGCGTTTTAAGGTCATCTATTTTAACTTTGAAATTCGAAAGTTATGTTTTTTCCAAAAAAAAGCAAGTGCCTTTTTTTCTGTTTACTCCGTTCATAGACTCTTTTTCAACTGTTTGTTGGCTATGGTTCTGCGATCCCTTCTTTACCATTACTAGTGTCATCACAATTTATGTAATTTCTTTGCAAATTTTTTGGGTCTTTACTTTCTGCGTTGAAGCTAAATGGATACTTGGCGTTTATCATTGCGCTCGTAATAGCAAGCGTTATCAAATCGGAATTTTTGATAATCGGACTTTTTGGGGTCAACAACCAGTTTAACAAAATTATTGAATCATTTACTTCATTTAAGTAAAATCATTGAATCATTTAGACAAAATCATTGAATTAGAATAGCTGAGTAAATGATTCAAAATTTTTTAAAAACTAGTTGTTGACCCGAAAAAGTCTGATTATCAAATATCCTTTTTTATTTAGTATATCCAGTTTGTGGTGGCAGTTTGGCCCATTTAGGTTGAAGGTGCAGGGCAAAAGTCAAGGATTCTAATCTGGCCAAGACCTATTTTTTTGCAGATAACAAATTATCTGCTGGACAAAAAATGTTTAACTGACTATTGTTTATCTGCTTGTTTTTGTAGGCTCAGGCGCCATTGCTTGGAACAAGGTTTTTTCCTGGTCCTACAAATCTCTAAGAAATTAACCTTGCTTTATTATGAAACCTCAGTAATTTTCAAGGTCTACCTGTTATCCTATTTAGTCTCGAAATAGGATAACGCCTGAGCTTACCATAATTTTTTTATAGAATTTCAAAGCGTTTTAAGGCCATCTATTTTAACTTTGAAATTCGAAAGTTATGTTTTTCCATAAAAAAAACAAGTGCCTTTTTTTTCTGTTTACTCCGTTCATAGACTCTTTTTCAACTGTTTGTTGGCTATGGTTCTGCGATCCCTTCTTTACCATTACTAGTGGCATCACAATTTATGTAATTTCTTTGCAAATTTTTTGGGTCTTTACTTTCTGCGTTGAAGCTAAATGGATACTTGGCGTTTATCATTGCGCTCGTAATAGCAAGCGTTATCAAATCGGAATTTTTGATAATCGGACTTTTTGGGGTCAACAACCAGTTTAACAAAATTATTGAATCATTTACTTCATTTAAGTAAAATCATTGAATCATTTAGACAAATTCATTGAATTAAAAGAGCTGAGTAAATGATTTAAAATTTTTTTAAAACTAGTTGTTGACCCGAAAAAGTCTGATTATCAAATATTCCTTTTTTATTTAGTATATCCAGTTTGTGGTGGCAGTTTGGCCCATTTAGGTTGAAGGTGCAGGGCAAAATTCAAGGATTCTAATCCGGCCAAGACCTATTTTTTTGCAGATAACAAATTATCTGCTGGACAAAAATGTTTAACTGACTATTGTTTATCTGCTTGTTTTTGTAGGCTCAGGCGCCATTGCTTGGGAACAAGGTTTTTTCCTGGTCCTACAAATCTCTAAGAAATTAACCTTGCTTTATTATGAAACCTCAGTAGTTTTCAAGGTCTGCCTGTTATCCTATTTCGTCTCGAAATAGGATAACGCCTGAGCTTACCATTATTTTTTTTATAGAAATTCAAAGCGTTTTAAGGCCATCTATTTTAACTTTGAAATTCGAAAGTTATGTTTTTTCCAAAAAAAACAAGTGCCTTTTTTCTGTTTACTCCGTTCATTGACTCTTTTTCAACTGTTTGTTGGCTATGGTTCTGCGATCCCTTCTTTACCATTACTAGTGGCATCACAATTTATGTAATTTCTATGCAAATTTTTTGCGTCTTAACTTTATGCGTTGCAGCTATATGGATACCTGGCGCGTATCATTGCGCTCGTAATAGCAAGCGATTAACAACCTGTGTAAAAAAATTATTGAATCAATCACTTCATTGAAGTAAAATTATTGAATCATGTAGACAAAATCATTGAATCATAAGAGCTGAGTAAATGATTCAAAAATTTTGTTGAACTAGTTGTTGACCCGAAAAAAGTCTGATTATCAAATATTCCTTTTTTATTTAGTCATCCAGTTTGTGGTGGCAGTTTGGCCCATTTAGGGTGAAGGTGCAGGACAAAAGTCCAGGATTCTAATCCGGCCAAGACCTATTTTTTGCAGATAACAAATTTACCGCTGGACAAAAAAAAAATGTTTAACTGACTATTGTTTATCTGCTTAATTTTGTAGGCTCAGGCGCCATTGCTTGGGAACTAGGTTTTTTCCTGGTCCTACAAATCTGTAAGAAATTAACCTTGCTTTATTACGAAACCTCAGTAATTTTCAAGGTCTGCCTGTTATTCTATTTAGTCTCGAAAAATGATAACGCTTGAGCTCACCATAAATTTTTATAGAAATTCAAAGCGTTTTAAGGCCATCTATTTTAACTTTGAAATTCGAAAGTTATGTTTTTTCAAAAAAAAAACAAGTGTCTTTTTTTCTGTTAACTTCCGTTCATATACTCTTTTTCAACTGTTTGTTGGCTATGGTTCTGCGATCCCTTCTTTACCATTATTAGTGGCATCACATTTTATGTAATTTCTATGCAAATTTTTTGCGTCTTAACTTTCTGCTTTGAAGCTATCTGGATACCATGTTTTTTCGCTTAATTTGATTTTGTCTGGTGAGCTCTAAAAACATCAGGTTTTGAGAATGGCTATATCGTATTTATTCTTGTAATGTTTTGAAGTTTTTCGGAAAATATGAAATATGTTGCTTTTTTCACATTCATTGTTTACTCTCTAATTCTGGCATATATTTTTGTATCGCATGTGCTTTTCAATTTATGCACTGTTATTTAAACCAGAAGTGGAAAAAATTACCGTGTATTAAAATATATTGTTGCACTTGCAATTAGCAACCGTTATCAAATCGGATTCTATACTTTTTCGTGTTAATAACTAGTTTAACAAATTCAGTTGAATCAGGTGGCATGTCTGTTCCGATGGAAGGCCCAGAAACTAATTTTTTGAACATATCTGCTTTTTAAATAACCGTATCGTTCGAATTTTTGTTTTTGCATTCAAAACTGCTCTTCTTTTTTTTCAACTTTCGTTTTCTTCGGCTTAAATGGTTTTGGTTGATAATATATCTGCCCAAAGTTCGTCGCTTGACGGGCTAAATTTTTTAAATTGCATTTGTGCTCTTGAATGGGGGGTGTGAAAAACAGAAGATTTGTTATGGTTCAAAAGCTTTAACAGCAAATTTTTTGGGCCATTTGTTGTCTTCTCATGCGATGTCTGCTCAGTTACTCTTATTAATGTTGTTTTTCAATACTTATCATATCACAAAAATAAAGTGACCAAATGTTCTGTTTTGTGTTCAATGGCCGGTAAATATTGTGCAAGACATCAATGCATATACGAGCAGTCTGTTTAATTTGATGTTTTACATAGGAGATGCGTGGCTAGACTACGCAGTGCTATCTGGAGTCCTCCTCGCCATTCCACTGGTGTTAGTTGTAGACGACACGAACGAGAGAGGGAAGATGAGCGAAACAGTTCGCAGACAGTCGGGGCGATCCATAGTTAACTCAAGAGGAGGAACTAGAAACGACTATTCTGACAACGACACATCAGACGACAATCTAATTATTATGTCTCATTGAAATAGCGCTGCAAATTATGTGATGTAATGTAGTTGAAATTAGAATTGCTAATTATACACTTTCGACCTTCATTTTTTTGATTCATTCTTATTTGAAAAATAGTCATCGCATTTGAAGGAAATTTCTATGACTAACATTGATCGCCGTTTCCTGTGCAGTTGAGATAAAGGAGGTCAACCTTCGTTCGGTTCGTTCTTCTGGTTCTAGTTAAGTCCGAAATCGAAAAAATTGTTATTATTGTAACACTTTTGATCCCCTACGAATTTCATTTGGGGTAGCCTAAATAGAGGAAAAACCATACCAACACAGTTTCTTCCCGCTTGGTGCAGTGATCAGAACAAAAACAAATGAACCCAGAAAACGAAGGTCATATATTTTAAATCAAATAATGATGGTTATATTAACAAATCGATTCCAAAGATAGCCGGTTACTGTGCTAGTAGCACAGAATGTTCCGACCATCCTGTTAGAAAACCTCAAAGAAACTTGTTTCCAATTAGTGTCGTTTTTTTCTGCGTGGTGTGATAAAAGAATCTGAACAAAAATATCATCTGGACAATCATAGTAAAATAGGCAAATTCGACAACTGTTTTTGAAGAGTAATCATAAGAAAAACAACAAAAAAATCAGAAAAGTTCCCAAAATGGCGCTAAAAACCCTAAAAACTAACCTTTTCTCGTGCAAAACTAAGTTTTCACGGCTTAAATTAAACATAAATTAAGTATAGTAAGCCAAAAGCTTCTGAAAAAAACGATTCGTTTGCTTTATTTGCTCGAAATTAGATTTCGAAAAGTTTTAAACCTATTTTTTCGATACTGGGATTACTTGAAGCCGTTCGAATCACGACTGACAGGGCTTGAAAATGATATATCACTCGACCCATTCCGATGATTAATTGTGGTGCCTGATTTTGCGTGGAAAACAAAAAAGAAAAAACGAAAACACACCCGAATGGTCGGAACATTAAATCACGTCATTCCCAAAAATGGTCGGAAGAATAACTCACGCATTTGATCCAAAGTCACTCATTTCGGTGCTTAATATTTCAATTACTAATGTTCGATCAACCGAATTGAATTACATGTTATAGTTTTCTTTTTCTTTGGTGATGGAATGGAATTCGAATGATGAATTGTATGTACGATTTTTTTTTTCAAAGTATCAGACCAGACTAAAGCGATTGCAAATTCTGTTATTGTTGCTAAAATTTTTCGATTGAAATTCAATTTCTTTTTGTAAAGTTTTATAATCAACATGTTTCCGCTTTCGTGTCTTTTATGTATCGAATGTCTTCCAATTTAGTTAGTGAATTAGTGTTAAATAAATTTAAATGAAGATATTTTTTTTACTTGAAATTAGTAAATGGAAGCGCAATATTGACTAACGAAGTTGCTGGTCTAAGTTTCTAAGAAAATTTGGTATCAGTTTGTCTTTCCGCCCAAGTCAAGCGTACTTTTTAGCACAAGCCATTTTTTCCAATCTAAATTGTATAAAACAGTGTTCAAACATTTTTTTGCTACATTGTACTGGTAGTGTAATGGCTTGCTCTTTGCAATTTTTTCGGTTCAATGAGAATCAGTGGCACAGGAAGCTTGAGGGATGATTGAGGATTAAGGTTCAGTTCCCGTTGAGGGAATTTTTTGAAAAGTTTTTATTAATGCCAATTTCTTGCCTTTTTTAAGGCTATGACTGTTTTTTTTTAACTTAAAATCAAAGATGTATCTTGTTAACATTATGATTGAAAATGTTGAAGATCGAAAGTTGATTGAAAAATGGTCAATCGTGCTTGCGGGATAAAAATCACAAATTTCAATTAAAACAAGGATAGCCGGTTGCTGTGCAAGTAACAAAAAATGCTCGGACCATCCATAATTATTAAAAAAAAACTGCAGAACAGTTTTTCTTTGGTTTTTCATTTAAAAAAAATGAAGAAAAATCATTTTACTAGAGGAAAGCTAAATTTTCATGGCCTATTCTTCTATAAAGTCTGCTAGCTTACTTCACTTGATCGAAGTTGAACTAAAACTCAAAAACTTTAAACCATTTTTTCTCGGCACTTCATTTAATTGTCATCTTTTGTCCACGGTGTGATGAGAGAACTACACAAATGTGTAAAAAGTTAGCCAATTTGACTTGATCGTCAACAGTTGGCTTCAAAAAATGAACAACACAAAGTTTTCAATTTTTTTTTGGTTCGTTGCTGAATATTTTTTTTATTTTTCAAAGAAAATATTGATAGATGCAACCCGAAAAAATCAAAAATTATATGAAAAGCACAAACTTCAAATCGGTGTTTTTATACACTTTTTGAAATTTTTTTAATGTCATTTGAAGCAGGATTGAAAGGGCTTTAATATGATATATTACTCGACCCAGTCCGATGATTATTTGTGGTGCCTGAATTTTCGTGGAAAACAAAAACAATAGAAAAACTAAAATACACCCGAATACAAAGTTCCTCGCCAGTTTCAATGGTCGGAACACTAACCCAAACAGTTACTGAAAAAATCAGTCTGCAAAAATTTGATTCGGTTAATACGTTTGCTGACGAATATCCTTGTATCCTCTTCTTGCTCATTTTTGATAATTTCGTTGTGAACCGCGCGCATAAAAGCTCATATCAAAAGGCCATTTTTACTTCAAGAAAAGCTTTCCGAAGTGTTTTTTTTTTGCTTCTTTACTTGCTTCTTTTGCTTTTGGTTTGAACTGTTTCAGACGCAATCGGGCATATGCAGAGGATAACAATATGAAAGGTTTTGCTGAATTGTTAACTTCTAATTTTTTTGTCATAAATGAAGACTTCTGGAACTTAATTGAAGATTGTTTCAGCTTAAATATATAAGTAGATACTATTTTTTGCATCCAGTTTTCTGTCAGATCAAAATCTTGACTATTTGCAAAGTTTCTAACCTGGTTGCGACAATAAACCTGGTTGCGACACTGTTAGTGGGTTGTCGTCGATTAACAAAATTTGATTAAGTTGATTAAGAATTGTTTGTGGCAAAAGCATCTGGTTCAGTCAAAGCAAAGACATGTTTTTTGTCCCTACCACGTCAAAAAGTGAAAAGAAGGAATTGAGCCTGAATGTTGGCTTTTCGGACCAATTTTAGGTGCATCACAAAATGTAGGGGTTAAAGTTAGTGTTGTAGCCATTTGGATTTTCATAATAATTTACTCTAACAATAGTACACTGTCAAAATGTTTACGTGGATTTTTTTGTTACAGTGTAAAAAACGAAGTGATTTTCAGTTCTACAGTTCTTGATTGTTTTTTTTTCACTTCAAGTTATAGAATGCTCTCTCAAGGTCAATTCATGTTCTTCTGCTAAAAGTTATGCGCAAAAAATGCTAATGACGAGTTTGGAAACTGGATTTTAGAATTGAGATCTCCCAGAGGGATAAAAAGTTGAACCATTGATCTAGTTTTTAAAAAAATTGGGTTAATTTTATTGAAAAGTGACAATCATGAAATTCTTGAAATTCGAAGAGCTTCAAACTGATTTTTTGCTGAATTGTTAACTTCTAATTTTTTTGTCATAAATGAAGACTTCTGGAACTTAATTGAAGATTGTTTCAGCTTAAATATATAAGTAGATACTATTTTTTGCATCCAGTTTTCTGTCAGATCAAAATCTTGACTATTTGCAAAGTTTCTAACCTGGTTGCGACAATAAACCTGGTTGCGACACTGTTAGTGGGTTGTCGTCGATTAACAAAATTTGATTAAGTTGATTAAGAATTGTTTGTGGCAAAAGCATCTGGTTCAGTCAAAGCAAAGACATGTTTTTTGTTCCTACCACGTCAAAAAGTGAAAAGAAGGAATTGAGCCTGAATGTTGGCTTTTCGGACCAATTTTAGGTGCATCACAAAATGTAGGGGTTAAAGTTAGTGTTGTAGCCATTTGGATTTTCATAATAATTTACTCTAACAATAGTACACTGTCAAAATGTTTACATGGATTTTTTTGTTACAGTGTAAAAAACGAAGTGATTTTCAGTTCTACAGTTCTTGATTGTTTTTTTTCACTTCAAGTTATAGAATGCTCTCTCAAGGTCAATTCATGTTCTTCTGCTAAAAGTTATGCGCAAAAAAATGCTAATGACGAGTTTGGAAACTGGATTTTAGAATTGAGATCTCCCAGAGGGATAAAAAGTTGAACCATTGATCTAGTTTTAAAAAAAATTGGGTTAATTTTATTGAAAAGTGACAATCATGAAATTCTTGAAATTCGAAGAGCTTCAAACTGATTTTTTTTTTCGAAAGTTGAAAAATATTCAGACATTTTCAAGCCATATTTTTCAGTGCCTTGTTCTTGTACACTTTTCAACCCCCTGTATTGGCTATGTTTATGAGTCAATTCTGCCATATCGTGGGAGAAATGACCGGAGAATACTCGTCCAGTTTTCTACTGGCCATTGAAATAAAGGAGGAACTTTATCTGTTTTTTTTTCGCGCGAAATCAGGTACCACAAAAAATAGTGAGAATGGGTCGAGCGATATATCATTTGAAAGCCCGTTCAGTCGTGATTTGAATGACATCAAAAATTTATCTCAGTTTCGAGAAAAACCTGTTCGAAGTGTTTGCTTATTGGTCTAATTTGAGCGAACGAAGCAAGCGAGCAGACTTTATAAATGAATAGGCCATGAAGTTTTAGCTTTGCTCTAGTAAAATGATTTTTTGAAAAATTTTTCAGCGCGTTCTTGGATTAAAAACTTAAAAAATATCTGCACAAAAAATGAGAAAACATTCGAAATTTCTTTTTAATTTTTTTTATGATTTTTTTTGTTTTCATGGGCATTTGTCTACAAATCAATGCACAATTTGCCTGTTCAACTGTGATTGTCGAATATGTTCATGTTCTAGGCGTTCGTTAGATTCTTTTATCACGCCACGCACAAAAAAAAAACGACTCTAGTTTGAAAAAAAAACGTATTTTTAAGAATACGGTCGTAACATTTTGTGCCACTTGCATGACAACCGGCTATACTTGTCTAAATAATGCGAATATCAGACAGCCTCAAAGTAATTTTCAGAAACAGTTGTTCTTAGTTTTGAGAGTTATCAGAGGTAGGCAATGGTGACACCAGTCCCGTCTAATATATCTTTTCCTACTGAGGAGCAGAACATTCTAGAATTCTGGGACTCAATCAATGCTTTCAAAACGAGTTTGGCTTTGAACAAGGGGAAGCCGGCGTACACGTTCTATGATGGACCTCCCTTTGCGACTGGGATGCCCCATTACGGACATATCTTAGCTGGAACTATCAAAGATACGGTCACCAGATTTGCACACATGTCAGGTTAGTTAAGTCAAGAAACTGGACATTTTAATTTTGTTGTTAATAGGCAGTCAGTTACTCAAGGCAGATGGTTGGAAGTATAGGAAATTATTTTATTCAATCAGGATTGGAAATAGTTATTTTATGAGTCTGAAAAAAGGGCGACAATTATTCCGTAAATTTTGGAGAGTTAAGATTTTGATGGTTGGGAAGTTTTTTTGTCATGAGAACAGTGCCCATGTTTTTTGAATGAAAAAAAGTTTCGAAGGGATTTGACTTTATTGTGACAGTTTAAATCTTCAGATTAAAAAATATTTTAATAATTCAGTTCAATTGATATCTGTTCTCATTCTGAACAAAAACCTTATTTTTTAAGTGAAATAAAGCTGTTGAAACTTGCACTAGACTGAAAGTTATTAGGTTTTTTAAATTTTTGAAGAAAAATTGACTTTTAATTTGATCAAATTCTTTTTGAGTGAATTATATAACTTAAATCATGCTAAATTTTTACTAGGTCACAACGTAGTTCGAAGATTCGGTTGGGACTGTCACGGTTTACCAGTTGAGTACGAAATCGACAAGCAGCACAACATCACAGGTCCAGAAGATGTTGAGAAGATGGGGATCGCCAAGTACAACGAACTCTGTCGTGGGATCGTGATGCGCTACTCAAGTGAGTGGGAGCGAGTGGTGAAGCGAGTCGGCAGATGGATAGACTTTGAACACGACTACAAAACAATGTACCCTTGGTTCATGGAGTCGGTATGGTGGGTGTTCAGCGAGCTGTTCAAAAAGGGATTCGTATATCGAGGGTTCAAGGTAATGCCCTACTCAACAGCCTGTAACACCCCATTGTCCAACTTTGAAGCGAATTTGAACTACAAAGATGTAAATGATCCGGCGGTGATAGTAAGTTTTCCTCTCGCGGATGAACCAGATGTTTCTTTCTTAGCCTGGACAACAACACCCTGGACTTTGCCTAGCAACCTGGCGCTTTGTGTCAACCCAAAGCAGACGTACGTCAAGGTCAAGGAGCTGAGTAGCGGAAAATTCTACATCATGATGAAAAACTGTCTAAAAGCGCTTTTCAAGACGGAAGATCTATATCAAATTTTGGAAGAAATAGTGGGAAAGAAACTAGAGGGTACAAAATATGTTCCTCTATTTGACTATTTCAAATCTTTTGAAGCAAGTGGCGCTTTTAAAGTTGTCGTCGACGATTATGTCTCGGATGAAGCAGGCGTGGGAATCGTTCATCAAGCTCCCTATTTTGGAGAGGACGATTACCGCATCTGTTTGAGCTACGGAATCATAAAGAAGGGTGAAGACGCAGTCTGTCCTGTTGATGCTTCGGGTAAATTCTCCTCAGTAGTGACTCATTTTGCGGGTCAGTATGTGAAAGACGCAGATTCAAACATCTGCAAGCATTTGAAGTCTGTCGGAAGACTCGTGCATCAGTCGCAGATTAGTCACAGCTACCCGTTTTGTTGGAGGTCTAATACACCTCTTTTGTATCGTGCTATTCCCTGTTGGTTCATCAAGGTGGAACAAATAGTCGACCAGCTCCTGAAGTCGAATGAACAAACGTACTGGGTTCCGGACCAGGTCAAAGAAGGTAGATTTGCGAACTGGGTCTCAAATGCCAGAGATTGGGCTATTTCAAGGAATCGATACTGGGGAAACCCCATGCCTATTTGGACAAACAGTGACTTCTCCGAAGTTAGATGTATATCGTCAATCGCAGAACTAGAAGAACTCTCAGGGCAGAAAGTTACGGATATTCATCGAGAGTCCATTGATCATATTGAGATCCCATCTTCTAAGCCGAACGGAGAACCTCTGAAGAGAATAAGCGAAGTGTTTGACTGCTGGTTTGAAAGTGGGAGCATGCCTTACGCACAACAACATTATCCGTTTGAGCACAAAAAGGATTTCGAGGAGAATTTCCCGGCTGATTTTATCGCTGAAGGCCTTGATCAAACCAGAGGCTGGTTTTATACACTGCTGATTGTATCGACGGCATTGTTCAACAAGCCTCCATTTAAAAATTTGATTTGCAACGGTTTGATTCTGGCTGAGAATGGCGAGAAAATGTCGAAAAGCAAGAAGAACTACCCGGATCCAGAGATCATTGTGAATAACTACGGCGCTGACGCGCTTAGACTGTACCTGATAAACTCTCCGGTCGTGAGAGCGGAAGAGCTCAAGTTCCGCGAGGATGGCGTGAAATCAGTGCTGAAAGAAGTGTTCATTCCGTGGTTCAACGCGTACCGATTCTTGGTGCAAAATGTTGAAAATCTAAAATGCGAACATGGGATTGAGTTTACTTTCAACGAAACCTCTCTGGACAATGTGACTAATTATATGGACAAATGGATTCTTAGTTCGACACAGTCGCTTATTGAATTTGTAAATGACGAAATGCAAGCGTACAGATTGTACACGGTCGTGCCAAAATTGGTGAAGTTCATCGACACTTTGACAAATTGGTACGTGCGAATGAACCGAAGACGCATCAGAGGTCAAGATGGTCTGGATGAATGTATGTCTTCGTTGACTACTCTGTTCTCAACTCTATTCGACATGGTTCGTTTCATGGCGCCATTTATACCATTCTTGACAGAATACATGTACCAAAATTTGAAGAATCTTCTGGAAGATTCAGCGAAGCTCGGCCCCGATCTGAGATCGGTACACTTCTTAAGCATGCCTAAGCCCTCGAATGCCTTGATAAATGTGGCGATTGAAAAGGCGGTGTCCAGAATGCAGACTGTCGTTGAAATGGGAAGGCTAGTAAGAGATAGAAAAACACTACCAATAAAGTACCCTTTGTCCGAAGTAATAGTTATCCACAGTGACTCTGAGTGTCTGAAAGATGTGGAAAGTCTGTCGAAGTATATAAAAGAAGAACTTAATGTGAAGAGTCTGGAAACGTCATCAGATAAGCACAAGTACAAAATATCGTACAAAGCGTTGCCGAATTTGAAACTCCTGGGAACCAAGTTGAAGAAAGATATGAAAAATGTTACAGATGAAATTAAGAAATTGTCTGACTCTCAGTTGATGAACCTGAAAGAAAGTGGCAAAATTGAAGTGTGTGGTTACGAGCTGACAGAAGAAGAGCTGCTGGTGAAACTTCAGTTTGACGAGAGTGTGAAAGAGGAGTTTGCGAGGTACGAGGCACTTTCAAGTGACGATTTCCTGATCCTTCTTGATATCACGCCCAGTGAAGAAATGAAAGAGGAGGGAATTGCGCGAGAAATGGTGAATAGAATTCAGAAGTTGAGGAAGGCAGGGAAACTTAACCCTTATGACGAAATATCGGTTCATATCGAGGTTGACCCTGGTTCGAAGTTGGCTAAAATTGTAGAGAATAACTTCGAACTTATAGTATCTTCAGTGAAACAGCCGACGTTCTTGAGCCCTCCTTCTGGCGGTTCCAACATAATTTGTTCGGAAAGTTTCGATTTGCATGACTCCAAATTTATCGCTACCATCTGTCGACCTAACGAGTCGTCACAAGAATCATCAACAGGTGCTAAATTGATGTACCCTTCATCAAAGCCAAATGGAGTTGGATTCGTGAATGTCAAGGTCGCTTCTCTGAAGTTCCTCGAGGGAAAAGAATGCACTCTGCTCATGGAAAATCCGATCGGCACCAAACACTCGACTGATGTTGTTTTGAAACAAATCGAAACCGTACTGAATCTTCGAGGTATGAATTATTGCGTGTACACAGATGCTGAGCTGACGAAAGAACTGAAATCTGGCAATATCTCGAATGGACAAATGTTGTTCGTGAAAATTGAAGGCTCATCTTTGGGGTCCGAATCAGAGCTTTCTGTCGATAATTCTGGGAATCCGCTTTGCAACTTCGTTAACGTTGTAAATGGAAGTCAACGTGGGGCTATACTGCTCGAGAACCCCAAAGGTCGATGGTTGAAAAAGACATCGTTGCCAAAGTTTGCCCAGTGTTTGTTCAAGCTACCTAAGGAGCCTATTGTGTTTTTGGACGACAAGAAGGCGAGGTCTCTGGACTCGATGTCATTGAATGATCTTTGCGGAGAAACGCTGTATGTTTGATTTTGACTGAAAATGTAATATATAATTAACTGGTCTTCTGATGTAAAAAACATGCTTGGGTAAATCCCGCCTTAAATTAAAATTCAAATTTTAAAACTATTGTTTTTTCCAGTCTTCCTTTTATCTCTTTGCTTAATTTTTCTGATCTTGAAACTTACCAAGGATTCCCGCATGTTGCATGTAGTTGGAAGACCATTTCCAGATGTTTTCTTCTGATTCTATTTTTCGTTCCTCTTAATCAGTAATATCCACATTTAACAAGAATAGTCGGTTCATATGCGTGTTTAAACTCAAAGTTTCCTCTATTCTTAATAAGAGTGAAATTGAATACACTTAATTTTGCATACTTAATAACAAAAATGTAACTCAATTTTTTGCAAGTGCTGGAGAAACGCTGAACTAAGCTTCAAAATGATTATTCCAAATTAAATCTGAGTGTGTTATAGCTTGATTAAAACTTATCGCGTTACTGGCTAGCTTCACAATTTCAAATAATAACCAAAACCAAAAAAAAAACTTTAAAAACTCTGGACATTGAATATCATTCGACCAATTTGGAAGGTTATTTGTGGTTCATCATTTTGCGTGGAGATGAAATAGTAACCCACCCGAATAAAAATTCCTGGCTGTTTTCCACTTTCCCCCAACATATCAATTTTTCGATTTTCATAGTTGTTTTACTTGTTATAACGGCTAAATGCGTGATGTTACGATGTAAAGTAAGAAGAACAAATCTGTTCACAATTGTTGGTTTGTTCGCCATGCAACATTTCATTGAATTGTGACAATGTTAAACTAGTTTTTCAAATTTAAAATTCAAAGGTGGGGGAAGTGGAAAAGAGCCAAATTAAGTGGTCGGAACAACAAGATTAGCCAAAGAATTTTTTTTCAATTATATGTATTAAGATTTTTTCTAATAATTTCTTTCTCGACTGGCTAAATTCTTTCCAGAATGCTTAACTAACATTAATTGTTACTCAAGCGGTTTATTACGAGGCGATTTGTTCCAATCCAACTTGCATAAAGTAGTGCTTCTTGGCTCTTTTCTACCCCCCCCCCCCCCCATATTTGAATTTCAGTTTTAAAAAACTAATTTCCTTTTGTATAAAGTATAACGTAACATCACGCATTCAGCCATAACAACACATAAGACAACTGAGAAAATGGGAAATGTGGGGGAAAGTAGCAAAGAGCCCTTTTTGATTGCTCTTTTGCTGCATAGCCTTGGAAATTTAAAATCATATGTTTATCCCGTTTATTCATGTCTTGAATTTCGTTCAATTCAAGAGTACGTGGCGCAGATGCTAGGACGTGAGGCTCTTAATCTCTAGGTTGGGGTTCGATTCCTGCATATGGCAAAAATTATATTTTTTAAATATTATTTGCCTTTTTTCTCCTTATTGTTTCCTTTTTAAAGCCAAGTTTTTGCTGTGTTGGTGTTTCGCAGTTTAATCTTTGATTTATTTTCACTTACGAGAGAAAGTGTTCTTGTAAGCGAAACCAAAAACAACATTTCTTACAAATCTGCTACAAATTTGTTCTGCAGGTACTTTCGTGCTGCAGTTACTTCTTTTTCCATCGTAGGTATTTATGAATTTTTTCAAATACAATTGTACAATTGTCAAATACAATACAATTATAGTTTTTTCGGATTAGTGGTTTTCATCTAAATGTCCGTGAGCTCGTTTTGTTTTCTTAGAGCAAATTATTATATCTGCATTTTTTTTTGATCAAACATTTTATATCGGCTTAGGCAATTTCTACTGCGTGGCTTCGAAGGAAAAACATAGTCTTGTTCCTTTTGTGTTTCAAGAGGAATGAGCCGTAAACACTTGGAGTTTCAAAATTTTATAGCTTGAACTCTTTAATGACACAAGTTATGTTTTAGGCTTATCGGGGCTCGGCCCAATTTTAGTCGCCCTATTTGCCGCTCGGTAAATGTTTTTCAATGCTTTTTAAGGCTGTTCACAAGCATAATCCGAGACAAATTTTGAAATTTTTGTAGACGTCGATTTTTCAGCTCAATCTTGGAAAAAAAACTCCGTCCTCTGGACTTCGGTCTCTTTTTCTATTCATTATCTTGTGACGCAATGTTTTTGTTGTATCGCAGGTGTTGAGGCGCTCTGCCGCGCCTCCGTGTCATAACTTCATTTCAAATTCATTTGCTAAAAGAATGGCATTTTACGCGCCCTAATTAAGAACGCGATGCCGCGGAAAACCTCGAACGGCTTCTAGTTTCGAAAGTGGAATAGAATTTTAAGATTTCACGTGTTGATCCACGTTTTGCAATTATCCAAAAAAATGTCAATCATAAATTTTTCTTGAGCTATTTTTTTCATAATTCGAAAGTTGTAATATACTTTAAAATAGTCAGTCCGTATTTTTGTTTGCCTTGAGTTCATTGGCACTTTTCCAGCTGTTCTTGGGCTATTTTGATTTTTCAGAGTTTCAACCTACTTAATGATTTTCTTTAACACTGCTAACTTCATCTGGGTTCAATTTGTCAAATTGAATCTGGCACTTCGAATATACAGACGTTCTTTCGCAAGTACTTTTTTTCGCAACTTGTGTGAAGCTCAGCTTCACCTCTGTATTAAGCAAGTGCTTATAATTTGATTTGGAAGCTGATTTGTAGTCGCTTCTGCTCTTCTCATCCCCCCACATTATACGTCTTCTTAAAAGTTACACACATAGAACAACTTTTCACGTTTTAATTTTTTTTTGCAACTGGCTTTTTCTGTTGAAGTTGTTAATAACTTGATTATAGAATATGGACAAATTAAGAAAGCGCTGAAATAATATTTTTAGTGCTACCTGATTTTGCAAAAAAATAAACCACAATGAAAATGTTTATCACGCTCTTCTTAGGGTATGTGATACAATTTTTTTGGGGCGTTTTTGTTAGAGGCTCAGGTGTGTACTTGCTTAGTTTTTATGAAAAACTATGATCTCAATTAAATCGCATGAAAATTCGTTGTGGCTCTTGACATCCGAATCTAGAGTTGAGTGATGATTTTGTTTTCGGCAGCGGTGGCGTTGTTGTTACCGATGATAATGTCGAGAGTGTGTGGTATCATTCTAAAGCCTTTTCAGTCGCGATTCGACGGCTGAAAAGTTTTTTACCGGAATTTCGAGAAAAAGCGGCCTGAAATTTTTTGATATTCTAAGTGGAATGATACTCGTGGGATGAAAGCGGCTTGAAATAAATTTTCGTTGACACAAAAATTCGCTATTTTTTAAATCAAATTTTATGTTAATTTTATTTCTGCTCCTTTTTATGTTCGATTATGCAATTAAAAATTTGGTCTGTAGTTTAGTTTTAGAAATTCTCGTCTGTTCAGTCTCTGTGTTTCAGACAAACGATGTCAGGAATTGCGATTGGTCGGCTTCAGGAAGAGAGAAAGTGCTGGAGGAAAGACCATCCCTTTGGGTTCATAGCCAAACCCTCCAAGAACCCAGACGGAACATGGAACCTGATGAACTGGGAGTGTGGCATTCCGGGCAAGAAGGGAACTCTATGGGAGGGGGGTCTTTACCCACTACGGATGATATTCAAAGATGATTACCCAATCAGTCCCCCCAAATGCAAATTTGAGCCCCCCTTGTTCCACCCAAACATTTACCCCAGTGGGACTGTTTGTCTGTCGCTTTTGGACGAGGAGAGAGATTGGAAACCAGCTGTCACCATAAAACAGATTCTATTAGGTAAGATTTTTCTATTGCACAAGATTTTTTGAGTTTTTTTTCAGGTTGACCAAATAGGTTTTTCATACCATAAATGACATTTTAGAGCAATTTATAATAGGTTGTAACCAAATAGTTGCTTTTTAGCGGTGGTTTTACGGAATTAAAGGGTGGTGATTGCCGCCAACCTTCCCCTGGGCTAAAGTTTTTGCCATTAAAAAGTGAATTAGGAAAAATAAATTCACCATTTGGACATTTAGCTCTGGAAAATTCTGTCGAATTGATGCTCATCCAATTACTAGGTGATTGTTACAATTGTCTAAGGTTTTTAAGTTCATTTCCCGAGCTCACGGTAAAAAACCAGCAGTTTGTGATAAGTCATCGAATGTCTTTTAGGTATTCAGGACTTGTTGAATGACCCCAACATCAAGGACCCCGCCCAAGCAGACGCCTACTCCACCTTCAGCTCAGACAGAGTAGAATACGACCGGAGAGTGAAAGCCCAGGCCAGACAGTTCCCCCCGGAAAAATTTGCGTCAGGTCACTAGTCCCCCACAGGGGGTGGGTGCAGTCAGTCGGCCATTCTTCCCGGCAAAAGTCAAACTTAGACTCAATTAACACCTGATAGGAGATGGAATGTTTTTTCATCGATGGCCATTTTTTATGCAAAATTGGAAAAAAAAATGTTTTTCATTCAAGGAAAACAGAGCTTAAGGGCTTTGTAATTTGTCATTGGCTATAGATGAAACATGTTCGATTGTCAATGTTCGTGTGTTTTCTAATGTCGTTGACGATCGAATATCATTTTTTGATGTCACAATTTCTGTTTAAAGAGCTGAAAAAAGAACATGGCAGCTGTTTTGATACTTTAATTTTAACAGTGTTTGGTGTAGCTATTTTCGTACTGATTACTCTTGTCTGTTTTGTCTGAAAAATTGTACTTGGAAGCGATAGCAGTATACTTTGACGATTTATGTTGATGAATTTTTTGATTTGCAGGCAAATAGTCGATAAACACACTTGTTAGTTGAAGTTCTCTTTTTTAATTTAATCATTATCATAGCGTCCGTGAGTTTTTATTTCTAATTGAAGTAGTTCGATCTATTCAAATGATCAGCATTTTAGGTGTTCCGCTCTTGGGAAAAGATTAAAAATTAGTAATGTAATGCTGCTTTGTTGACCTCGTGATCGGTATTAACTAGTTAATTATTAATTTTTAAAGACGTGTGTTCCGATAAATAGATTTTTTTTTCAGATAGTGTGTTGTATAAACAGAAACTGCGAGTTTAATTTAGTGAACATATTGTACGTGACTTAAATTGTGCAGAAAAAATTGACCTTATCTGACCTTGCAATGTCTTCAGTGCAACAAGTGAAGCCTCTTTACGAGGAGCTGAAGAAAGAGTTCAGCAACAAGAGGCGAGACGTGAACAAGTGCAAACAGCTCATATCAAAAATGAAGGCAAGTCGTAGTGCCGATTGTGCGACTTCGCTAATTTGTTTTTATACGTGATCGCAAGGGCTCAAGTGTGGTAGCATACTGATTTTTTTTGAATCGTGATTTGGATTACTCGCTGAAGTTTCCTGAAATTTAAGTTGGCGTCGAGAAAAACTGGAGACTTTGCTGGACTAGAATTACCCTATGAGATTAAAACGAGAAATGCAACGGGATGGATAATGGATAAGTTTTATGCATATAATTTCCGAATAATTTATTAAGACAGCCCTTTTTTTCTGAAATGAGGTTAAAATTGTGCTAACAAATTGCAGATTTCCTAACAAAAACACTCATCAGCTGAATATAACTAGCACAAACCTCTATATGTAGTATAACGTTCCTTATGCTTGTTTCAGATCGCTCTTTTGACACTTAACTTTTTTCCGAATGACAAGGCCACCAAAGCTGAACTGATAATAGCACGTGAGTACCTTAAACAAACCGACTAGTGTTCGAAGAATATACGCCCCGATAGTTAAACTTTCAGGACTGCATCTCATCTACATTGAGTTTTCAAGGCTACATTCAGTACAGTAGCGCATTTAGGGGGGGGGGGGATCGGAAGACTCCATTTAGGGATTGGACCCCCTGATTTTCCAAAGGATCCCTAAAATTTTTAATAAAGACGCCTTTGTCGCCAATATGCACTAAATTTGGAGGGTAGATCACGCGCCGAAAAATGATTTTTTTTTAAATCAAAACCTTTGCCAAAAGGGGTCTAAAAACGTCATATTGGCCTGTTTTTTAAAAAGGTCTTTCTAATAATTTGGGAGAGCTCGCAAATCATTTTTGGACGACCTTTATTTTTTGTTTGAAAATCCCCCCCCCCCCCCTCTCTCGAGAAAATCCTAGATCCGCCCCTGATTCAGTATAATATTAAATGGTTTTACTTTGGATAGGTACATAATCTCAATACGATAGGTCTACTTCGAGGAATCAGTCACCCCTGTTCTACTTTGAGCAGTCAGTAGTAGTCACCTCTCCTATTTTTTGCACAGAATCCTAAAAAAAATTAAAAGTAACTTTGGCTTGAGTCAAAAGCACTGAAAACGGCATTTCCGCACCTTTTCTTCAAAATTTGATGGTGATTCGGAAATTGTTTGTTTTTCATCGACCCAAGAAAGGTCGACGGAATTTCTGAAAACTGTTTTGTCCCATTTCCTTGACACAGAATTTGGTCACCTTGCAACAATTGAATTGAATGTATATAATATTAAATGGGTAGCTGAGCGCATTAGCTCCCCTCCCAAACAATGCCTTGATATTTCTTGGGCTGCGAATCCGGGTCCTTTTTTATACAACATAAAAAATACACGTTTTTTTAAAAACAATTATTCCTTTTTCGCTTTTAATTGAGTTCACTGACATTCTTTTTGTTAAGCATTTTTATGAGTCCTTTTACTATTATTATATACCAGCTCTGATTTTGTATGTTTTTTTTCATTCAAATGTTTTCGGCTTGTTTTACATCAACTAAGACACCGTATAATGCATTGTGGAAGGTTAAAAATATATTTTTGCTTTGTGAATTTTGAGAGGGGTCGGGCGTAAAAGTTTTAACTTCCAAAATTTTATACTTAAGTTTTTCTTTGAGATAATTGTATTTTCGGCTCAATTGGCGTCGACTCATCAATTATTTGCTCAGTTTCCGCTCGGTAAATGATTTCGAATTTCTACTCAAGGGCCTTGATTGTATTCTTTTCATGTTAACTGCAATTTGAATAAATGAAAGTTTTGTAGATGTAAGTTATATTCGACATTTTTTGAAATTTTTCGACATTGTAGCTTCCTTCTCGTTTTCCATCCGCTATCTTGCAATGATATGGCTTTGTTGTATCGCAAGTGTAGCGAAGCCCAACTTCACCTCTGTGTCAAATGGCATTGACAATCAATTACCAAAGTTACAGTCCTCAATTTCAATTAATTGCAGACAAAACGGTGCAAAAAATTTCATTAATTTAAATTTAAATTTTTTTTACTGTAACTGCAGCAGTATTGTGTTTACCAGGTGATTTTCTGGAGATCTGTTGTCAGTTGAGCATAGAGACAGAGGACGTAGAGGCATTTGAGAGATACTTTGTCCAGCTCAAAACATACTACTTTGATTTCAGGTTATCATCCTTACATCGTTTTTGTCATTTCTGTTTGTCAGTGTGAAAGAAGGCACGCTAAGCTTTCGGCACCTTCTGTTATTGAGCTGATGTAATTCTAGTCTCGAACAAATTTCGAAAATAACTCTCCGACAGTTTAACCGATTCAACTGTGCTATCTTGGACCGAATGGAACATAGCGCACTGATTTTTTTTTTTCAAAAGTATGGTTCGATTTTTCTGGTAAAGAAAAACAGAAGTAGGTTCTGTAGTTTCCAAAAAATGGTTTGATTTTTTTCAAGTGTGTATAAGTTCTGCGTTAAAAATTTCTATGCCTTGTTTGGTGATATGTTACAATAGGTGGTAGTTTTAACTACAGTGCATGTATTAAATTTGAGAACTGTAATGCAAAATATAGTCATTTCATTTTCAATCAGTTGTACATGCTGCTGAGATTTTTTGCAAATACATTACTCTGCCAGATAAACTGCTACTAAAAAAATTCAAATTTTACATTTTTGCAAAAAAAATTGGCTTTTAAAATAAATTGTACATACTGTGCGAAGTATAACAAAAAATGATCGAGCTATTTAAGTTAAAATTACCACCTATTGTAATATATCATCACCCCTTGTTTTAGAACAGAGTTACCCGAATCAGCGTACATGCACGAGTTAGTGGGCTGCCATCTGTTGTGTCTTTTGTCTCAGAATAAGTTGGCCCAATTCCACTCTGAGTTGGAGATGATCTCGATCGGAGACCTCCTCAACAACATCTACATCAAACACCCAGTGTCCATTGAACAGTATTTGATGGAGGGTAGCTACAACAAGGTACAGTCCTTAAATGGAACTTTATGTTTTATTATGATAGTGGTCCCTCGAAAAACCAACTATGATAGACAGGTCCCGCATGCATTTCGCATTTAATAGTTTGAAAACCAATTTGCGAATAAATAAATCATTTCAAAAATCTCGTGAGTAATTAATTACTATATTGTTTATATCAAGAAAAATGCTCGCTTCAATTTGATTTACCGTTTAAAAACCATTATTATGTCAACTTGATTGGCATCCAAACTCAATGTTGGCAATTTTTTTTGAAATTTCTACCCTAAAATGGCGAGGGGTAGGTTTTACGAAATAAGGGAAACATAAATTTTGATTGAACATGTACTGGGAAATCTTTCTGAATGGTTCTTTTCGGTTATAGCCCCCCCTTAAATGATGAAAAATTGTAAATGTAAATGAAAACGATTTGGGAGCTCTAGGTGTCTTATTCTCATGGGACCTGGTCATTTTCAAGTGACCACTTTATCATTTTTACTTTTCTATTTTTGAGCGCCACATTTCGTACATTTAGGGAAATGTCACCCAATGTGGTTCCATAAGACTCTTTAAATTGAGGCATGTTAGTTGGTAAATTTCGTTTTTCAAATTTCCTGGTGCTGCTAATGCGTCATTATTTTTTGCGTCACTTAGCAATTATGTAGACTCATAATTGGCGCGAGTCACTCAAGAGATTTTGTAGACACAACGTTTTACTCATTCATTTTTCCCAGTAGTGTTATCAGTCATTTTTGGGGGCTGTTCTCATGCGCGAAGGACCGAATGTGCGACAAACTCGTGGGCGAAAGACCAAAAACAAAATTAGCCTATAGTCAATTTTTAAAAATAATCAATTGCCATTCAATTAAAATGAATCAATACTTTGCTTCTTTCATAACGAAATCCTTGAAATATAAACTTTCATTCATTTCGGCGGTGGTCAGTGACAATTTGAAAATTTTGCATGTTTCTGCCGTTTTTATGTTCGGCCAATATCAATATTAAGTCCCTGGAAATGTTTACTTTCTTTCAGATTTTCACGCTTTCTTTCCAAATTTTAGATTACTCAAATCTGATTACCTGGTCTTTTTTTTCGCGCATTCGGTCTCACCATTTTTTGCTTGTGTATGCGAAGTGCAAATTCACCTTTGTGTCAAATTGAAGCATAATTGATTGAACAAGGCGCTCAGTCTTGGTGCAAGCTTCCCTAATTAAGTCAGTTATCTCACAATTTGTCAACAGAACTATCAACTTGAAAAAAAATTGTCTTAAGTAGCGGTAAAACACATATTTAAGCGTACAATAACACTTCTGCAGAAAAAGTACAGCAGAACAAGCGGTAGCTTTTTACAAATGACGCGTTTGAAGTCAGTGTTCTGATCTGCTTTTTTTAGTCTTCTAAAGGATTGGTTTACTAAAAAAACCGGTCCGCCAAAATCCCCAGCACCAAAACGATCAACCTCAATAGTTTAAATCAGCGAGCACAATAACACCCGTGCCGAATGGAAACGCAGCGGATTAAGCGGTCGCTAATCGCCAACGCTGCGTTTGAAGTTAGCTTTCTGGCTTCCTAATTGTTCTGAGTCTGCTGAAAGATAGGTCTGCGAAAAAACTGGTCTGCTAAAGTCCCTTGCACCCATCAAGTCATTCAAGTGTAGCTCGAATAGTTTTATCAATGCGTTTTTGTTGGATTCTAAGTGAAAGTCATCTTTAAATAAAAGTTTTGTGAGGATTAAAAATGAAATTATGCAGCAGAATGGAATCGATTTTAACAGTTGAAAATTAGAGTTAATGATATATGATTGGCTCAACCGAGTTAATGGTAAAATAATTTTGTCCTTGGTTAGCTATCGCTCAGTTTTGAAGCATTCAAACCTCTTTAAGAATCAGTTTCCACTCGTATTTTTCGATTTCCGTTGATTGTGAAGACAGGTCAGTTTCATCGCACATTTTGCTGCAATTTGGCTGAACAAAAGGAAATGGGTACAATGCTTGCAATACTACAATAGAGCTAAATTGTGAACTAGATGATCATTTACGAGAGCTTAATTGCAAAACGAATACCTGAATAGTTCTAAAGGTCATTTCAGATCATTCAAATGAGCATAATAAAATCGAGCAAATGAGAAAATTTTGTTACATATTTCATGCTTACATATTTCGTTACAAATTTCACGGTGTGTTGTTGTGAAATACTATGACCTTTCAACTGTGTGACCTTCCAATTAAAACGCTTCAGTATGTTATTTGGATTCCATTTTATACAATAATAATAAGAATCATAATAAAATAAACAATAGTTGCATTCGTTTTGAGGTTGCAGTTCACGCGAACGTATCCATATAATATACGCTTACATTATTTCGGGTGATTTCCCATAGGGAACGGCCTTTGAACGCACCTCTTTTTTTAAGGGGTTCGTTATGTACAAGGATGTTGTTTTATATTTAGATTTTCCTCTCAAAGTCAAATCTGCCTTCTGAACGGTGCAAGTTCTTCATTGAAGTTCTTTCAAATACAATCAGGTAACCATTTTGAATTACTTATCAAAGCAAATCTAATCCGATTTCAGAAATGTGGATTTTCAAAAAAATGTAGAAAATTTGTCTATCTTTTTTTGAATTTTTGAAAAAACAGATCAAAAACGCGTTTTAGTCACTTTTGGGAAACTTGACCAAAAAAATCGCTTTTTTTCGGCGCGCGCTCCCCTTCATAATGAGAATATATTGGCGCCAAAAGCGCCTTTAGAAAATTTTAGTGTTGTTCGGCCTAAAATGGATGTCATAAAATAATACCAAAGAGGGATCCGCCGCCCCTCCCCCCCCCCTTAATTCGCCCCTGATAGAGCATAATCAAGTAAAGACGGTTTATCCACAAGGGAAAGGACAAACATGCCAGCTGTTCAGCTCTTCACCTGAGAAGCGGTGTTGTGACTTGTTTAAGATATACATGCATTTTTTTGGTTATTTTTGTGGGCTGGGTAATATTGCCTCACCCTCAAGCAACGAGCACGGATCATGGTGGGCTTCTAACATCCGACTTTTCAATTGAGAGGCGGAGACGTAACAACTTCACCACCGCTCCCCAAATAAAAGCTGTTTGATTAGAAAAGACGGGATTGAAAACTGAGAGGATGTTTGATTGATTTAGGGACGAGATTGCGGAGTGTATGGAGAAGTCGTACGAGAGCATCTCTCTGCAGGAGGCGGCCGGGATCCTCTTCTTCGAAGACAAAGCTCTCGTCAAGCCGTACGCTCTGCAGGTACCTCGCATGCTTATTTCAAACAAAGATACCACTTATTTTACATGAGGAAGTTGGAGAAAATGACTTGAAGTATTAAAGTCACATTGCAGTCGGCGATTTGGAATCGAGTTTGTGCTCTGAACTTGAGAATTTTTTTCGCGGTTGTACGTAAAAAAGTTTTCAAACGATTTCCACGCGGAAAATTATCTTAAATCTGGAAAATTTTACAAACAACCATTCCAGAATTTTTTCTCTAATAATGAATTTTGATTTTAAGTTTCCGAAGCTCTTGCTGATATTGTTTTGACTGGATATGATGGGTGAAGACCTGTGATTTGAATAAACTAGCGTTTCAGGGCTGGAAAGTGCTCAATCGTTTTAGAGAAAGAAGCAATCCTCCTAGACTCAGCAGCATAGCTAATGGTTTGTTAATAACAAGTGAAAGTGCATGTTTCAGCGTCAGTGGCAGGTAGACTCGGTCACAGGTCTGGTGGCTTTCAAGCGTGAAGAAAAAGAGAAAAAAGAGATCGACTCGGACAAGATGATAAATGACTTTGTCAACTACGCTGTCCAATTAGAGACCATCATTTAATCAACTAGATTTATCAAATATAGACTTGCAAAAAATTTAGCCATTATAAAATGATACGACGGAGTTATTTTCAGAAAATTACAGTTGAGCCGATCAATTTCGGTTTTTAATGCACCATGCTTAGATGAGGATGGCTAAAGGGATCCTGAGTACAATTTACATGAATTTGCAAGTTATCCCATGGTTTCTGCACTGTGCTAAAAAAATAAGCATAGATGATTTTGCAAGTTCTTGGCGTAATTATTATCACGCAAGATTCTTTTCCACTGACTAGGAAAACAGTATTTTTAAGATTGAAGTCAGCATCATTTTCCCTCGAAAGAAAGGGCAACATAGGTAGAGATTGTTCAGTTCACCACAGCGAACCGCTGCTGTGTTTCTGATTGAGGCAGATATGTATATTTTTTTGTTGGGCGATATATTGCCTTGTCCTGATTTAACATGCTTAAACTTTAAGTGAGTTTAAAAACACAGCTAATGTTTGCGCCTAGTAGTTAAGATAATTAAAAGTGGAAAAGAGTCAGGTTGATATGTAAAGTGAATGAGTTGACATCTTATGTGTTTTTCCTTAATGATTGTTAGATAACAACTTGAAATATTAAAAGCTGAATTGTGATTTGAATATAGTTTATGGTCACATCTTTTAGCGATTGAAGCGAAGATACTAGATGAATTGTTGCAATTGTTGTATCATCATGAACTGTTATGCCGGAGATGTGAACAAAATTGGGATTGAGCGTGATATTTTCGTGCAATTTTAGGTAAGAGTAAAAACTCGCAGATAGAAAAAAGGCTAAATAATATTGAATGCCAGAACATTCAGCCGAAAGTTTCAAGGCAACTAACGCAAACATAATTATTTTTCTTTGTCCTGATTCGTGGCTGGTGTTTTGATTTTAACGCTCTCCACTAAACAAGATCTTATGTTATAGTATGATATCATTTTGCCAGCTCAACTCGTATAACAATAGACAAGAATGCTCGTATCAGGGTAAAAGGATCAATTGAGCAATCTCCCCCCCATTCTCGCGTGGGGGGGAGATAGCTCAATAGGTACTTGAGATATGTTTATAACCACTTGAAAATAGTTTGAATGACATGAAATCATAAAGCATATTTTCCAACGACTGTGGAAAGCCAAAATTTACAATATCAAAGCTCAAAAGTTTCATTCGGATTGAAAAAAGAATCAATAAAACAGCCATAAAAAGCTACTTTTTTCCTTTCTTTACATGACGAAAAGTTTTTGCGAACAATATTAAGGTGCTGCGGAGAACCTTTTTGCTATTCAGATACAAGGCTAGAGCACCAACCCTGGTAAGTCGCTTTATTCGATGAGGCTATGGTCGCATAAACAAAACTTTGCAAAAAAAAAAAAATTTTGATAAATTTCGATTTTTTTTTTCAAATTTTTTCTCGATACTCATGTAAGATAAACTTCAGTCGGTCAATTGATTGCGTGCTATAAACACATCATCCATCTACTTGCGTTTGCTGACGTCTTTTTGTAGAGTTTATTCGTTTTTGCTGGGGGGGAGATCGCTCAATTGGTCATTACGGGGGGGAGATTGCTCAATTGATCCGGGTAAAACAATGAATGTTCTGATTCCCATTTAATTGATCTGGAATAGTTTTGCTATAATCACGATCTGTAGCATTGGAAATTTCATAGCATCTGTTCTCGGATTTATTTGCGGCAAGTGTTTGTGATGGACTAAGCGTCTGTGGTTGAGTGGTTAGTGCGTGAGACTCAAAATTTCTACGTCGTAGGTTTGAGTCCGAGTCGCCGAATTTTAAATGATTCGAGGCGCTTATTCTTACTTATTTCACTTTTTAGAACTCTAGCGCTGCTTTTTGTGTTCTCGCTGGTGATTACCACGCATGAAAAATATAAAACGGGCAGTTAAGAGAGAATCTTGGCAGGTTACTGTAGTGGTGTGCGTACCCGGCTAGACCCATGCTCATCAAGAGATTGATCTTCCGAAGGACCAGAGTTTTGAAAAGATAATCTAAATAGAAAACCACCCCGAGGATTAATATTCCTCACTTTCATCGAAAGTCGGAACATTAAAGATAGAAGTGCTAGCATTTGGTCTATCTGCTTCATCAGAGGTCTTGGATCTGTAGCGTAGAGGCAGGGAAGGAGACCCGCAACAATAAAATAGAGGGTTCGAACCTGGGCAGCGTCGGATGATAATGAACCTTTTCGTATACTAGGTAAAATGCGTCCACTCTATAAATTGAGGCATGTTAGTTGGTAATTTTTTGTTCAAATTGACTGCTAATACAAAATTATTGGCTTCTAATTGCAAAATAAAATGTAGACTCATAATTAGCGTGCATGGCTTAAGAGATAGTGTAGACTCGAAGTTTAACACATTCAGTTTTCTCAGTAGCGTCATCGGTCTTTTTTTTGCTTGTGTATGCAAAGTCCAACTTCGCCTCTGTGTAAATCACCTGCAAACTGAATTTGTAAGCTAGGACAGCTTGCTCAGTAAAGCAGACGATTGTTTATAATCTAAACACACGCATATCACATTCCATAGCTTTAATAATTGTTGTTTACACAAGCAATGCTTGTGTTATAGTACGAACTATCTTTTTTTTTTCAAACCAATGTTGTTGCGGGGCAAATATTGTTGCGATAAAATGTGCTTATTTTGAAAGTGTTCATTTTGATCAATAACCAGCTATTAAGTACAGCCAATGCTAAGGATTTCAACACAAACTATTATTGTTCCGATTTTCGTAACGAAAGTAACGGAATGTTTCTGCTCGGGATGTTTTTTTTTCTTTAGACAAAATTGGACTTCTTAACTATCCGTTTTTGACAAGATTTACTAAATTTCATTCAAAAAGTATTGTTGCCCTGAGCTTAAATTTAGAAAGATTTTTCACCTGTGATCATTTTTTGTAAAGTTATGGGTGTTTTAAAACCGTCATTTTGGGACATTTAACGTGCGATATATTTCGCGCTATTAACGAGTAAGCGGAGATTTAATACGTCATAGAAATCGATTAATATTGGTTGAACGAAGATTATTTGGAATAATTGATTTGTTACTAGGAGCAAAATTTATCACTTTGTACTTAGTAGGGTGTGTGGGTGGATGATTTTCAAAAAAAATTTCAAATAAAAAAAAATTTCATTTCGTTTTATTACATTTAATTTTTTCATGCTATTATTGCTTCATAGACTGCTCTATAAATTGAGGCATGTTAGTTGATGAAATTCGTTTTTTTTAATGACTGGTACTGCTAATGCGTCATAACTGGCGTGCGTCACTTTAGAATTTTGTAGACCGAAGTTTTATTCATTCAGTTTTTCCCAGTAGCGTTTTCGGTCATACTTTTGCTTGTGTATGCGAAGTGCAACTTTGCCTCTGTGTCAAAATTTATTTTCCTATTTTTGCTCAGCTTTTCACATAATTTTTTATATTTAACTGGCTGTTTTAAACGGTTTTTTCTTCTGAAAATTATTGATGTCCTGAGCTCAAATTGAGAAAACTGTTTCACCTGTGATCGGTTTTTTGTACATTTTTGGTGTTTCGGAAACTGCCAGTTTGGCTAATTTGGGGCAATTAACGCACGATAAAAATTGCTTAGAAGTAAATTTTGATTTTTTGTTATTGGATAACAAATTGATACAAATTATATAGCGTGTGAGAGAATACTTTAAAAACAAATCTGAAAAAAAAATTAAGATGGTTTTTACAGGTTTTGTTTCCAAAATTTTATAATCATTTGAACGTATCAAAAAGAAATACTGCTCTGACTGTAATGGTTTGTCAGAAATTTCTAAGTTTCGCTTTATGCGAACAGACTTGTTTTGTTTGTACCAGTCTTATAGCTCTTTTTTCAGTTTTGTCTCGTTTTCGATTAAGAGACTCCGGCTGTTCATCGAAGTCGGGACAAAATTGACAATAAAGAGCCACAAAACTGCAACGAAACAAAACAATATATATGCTCGCATATATAAAGTGTGAATAAAGTTTCAGAACAAGAATTTTTGAATAAGAAGATGCAAAATTTTCTAATAATTTTAACAAATCAAAAAATAAGTGCTGCTTTGACCGTAACAAGTTGTCAGAAATTGCGAGCATTCTTTTGTTTTGTTGCAGTTTTACAGCTCATTTTTGTCATTTTTGTGCACATTTCGATGAACAAATGGAGTGTTTGTGCTTTTTATCTAGTTATTTAAGGAGGAATCTGCAAGTCATTGGTGTCCTGAACTTCAAACCATAGAAACTTGTACATGGTTTTGTAGTTTGTCAACTTTTTAGGGTTTAAAAAATAACCATCCTTGATAATCAACTATTGATATTTTTTGCGCAATTAAAGCGTAAACAGTAACTAAAACCAATTCAAGTGTGATCTTACTAGTGAGATACTAGATTCAAATTATATCATTTTGTCTGATACATGCACATTGAGGGAAAAATGGTAGAATTAAAAAAAAATCGTTTTTTAATCAATTCTCTAAGCAAAACTTTCATTGAACAGCAAGTGGAATGATCAGGTCTTCTCTATGATAGAAAGAACCATTTTTTTTTGTTTATGAAGTACCGCTTGTTTTTATAATTAACGTGTCATTTCGATTGTTTTGTAAGTTGCTTTTAAACTTAATTTTGTCAAACTTTAATCCATTTTTTCGTTTTTATACCGCCTCTAATTTTATTCTAATCTAGTTTCCAACAGTTCGGTTTGGATAAAATATGGCTGGATTAGTTGATGTGGAGCTCGGAGATCTAACACTAAGACCAATTTCAGTTTGCGATGAAAAAGTTGATTGTAAAATTTGTTAAAATAGATTTAAAAAAAGCTAACAATTTTAAAATGAAAGATTTTTCTTTTGAAATTTTTGGCATGTTTTTTTTTGAAAAACTTCCCCCCGACGTAAGGTAAGATATTTAGTCAAGTAAAGCTTAAATTTTGTGAAAAAAATTGCCTCAACTCGCTTTATAATGTTTTGAGTCATTTTGACTCACATTTTACTCGTT